AGAGAGAGAGAGAGAGAGAGAGAGAGAGAGAGAGAGAGAGAGAGAGAGAGAGAGAGAGAGAGAGAGAGAGAGAGAGTTCTCTGCTTATTGTTGCTGGTAGCCATAGCCGCAACCTTGAGAAACCTGTGTATATCATCCCACGTTGCAGTTTTCTGCATGTAGTAGCCATGTACTCATATTGTGTGGATCTTGCTAGACCTTTGTACATTTGTTCTTTCTTTTTTTCTAAATGGTTTGTGTTTCTGTCTGTGCAGTTTCCAAATGGTACCAACAGCCGTTATGTACAATTCTGGCTTATCCCAGAGAAAGGAGACTACATACGGGATGAAGTTGCTGCTGGAGGAACAGGTTATTCCAAAACTGTACAAAACTATATGCAGCTTTTCAGTACAAATCGAGTTGTTGCTGGAGGATCTGGTTATAAGGTGGTGAACTACACTTCACCAATGAAGTGGCCCTCTTTTCCGCCCACAAGTAAGTACTATGTTGAACTACAATGAAAAGATCTCGAACAGAAGTAAAAGGAAAGAAGGCAAAGAAGCCTACAGCCATGAGCAATCAGTTCACAAAACTACTAATGTCAGGATGAAGAAAAGAGCATCACTATGTTATACCACAGCTGCCAGTCACCAGATTCACTGTATTTTTTCGAAGTAGCCAAGCTCCCTTAATTGCCAAACCCTTGTGCTGTCTGGACATTCTCTCGAAAACCACTTAGTGTCACGCCTTATTGAGGTCACGTCTGTGCTAAGAAACCATGAACCGGGTTTCATTTCGTGGCCACATCGATGCACGCTAACCATGGACATAGAAGCAGTGGAGCTACGTCCCTAGTCTTACTGATTGTAGTTGAGAATTCAGCCTCTTGAAAATGGCCTCCGATGACCTCTATTCATTTGTCCTACATGAAGAGGACAGGGGAATGCTACAGGGCTGGCGCTGCACCCACCAGTCCTCTCCCCCCTACCTACCTGGCTATTTACCCATCTACCTGCCTACCTGCCTACATACCCACCTTCCCACCTGCCTACATACCCACCTTCCCACCTGCCTGCATACCCACCTACCCACCTGCCTACCTACCTGCCTACATAGACACGTACCCACCTGCCTACATAGACACGTACCCACCTGCCTACCCACCTGCCTACCCACCTGCCTACCCACCTGCCTACCCACCTGCCTACCCAGCATTCTATGCACCTGCCTACCCACCTGTCTACCAAGCACACTATGCACCTGCCTGCCCATCTGTCTACCCAGCGCCCTACACACCTGCCAGCCTATTGGCCTACCTACCTGCCTGCCTATCTGCCTATTTGTCCATCTGTGCATCATTCCTGCCCTCCATTACCTCATCTGATGCATCCTTGAGATGAACTGTTGGCAATGCAAAGGGTCATCAACATGAGAAAGAGGTACAATGTAATACACAGAAATCTCAAATCAGACACGGACTGACCTGCGATGGAGCCAAAAGACAATGTCACAAAGATACAGACTTCTCTTTTAGTGATTCTGTTTGCAAATACTTTCCCCGTGCCGTGCCACCCGCTGCTACTCATGAGCTAAACCATGATGGTATGTGTCATGATCAGCTCTTCACATCTCTTACGTGTGTGTGTGTGTGTGTGTGTGTGTGTGTGTGTGTGTGTGTGAGAGAGAG